CCCAAATAAGATGATCAAATTTGTATAAAAAATAAAAAATATAAAAGAGATAAAAAAGATAGAAATCATTTCTGATAACCCAACGAATATTTATAGATATTCGTTTATTTAAAACGAATATTTATAGAAATCTAATAAACCTTATATACTAATTTTTATTTGCTTAGATTTACTTAGACAAGCAGAGAAGCAAATTGAAATGCACACAAATATATGGATCAACAGTTATTTTTAGCTCAATATTTCAAAAGCGGCCGACTTTACGTCCCAGAGCCACTCGTTAAATTCGACGACCAAATTCAATCTCTACACACAAAAGGGACTACAAAAGCTGAACGGTCAGATCTACGTCCCGAACTACTCATCGCCAACGCCGACAAATACCATTCAACACCTCCCAACATCTCCCAAAGGAACATCACAAGCAGGTCCCAGCGAGTTACAACAGAAGAGGATCCTTGCCGGCAACAACAACATATATTCTAAACTAAGTTTTACAGTTTGACAGAACTAAATGCAAACATTCGCCACAAATATCTACAACATGTGTAGAAAAATAAATTACGTTAATTATATATTTTTTTCACGCATAAATACTTCATACGTCACATTTAATATGTAGTACCGCTTTTTGAAAAACGCTTTGTGTAATTTATTTAAGCTATAAAGTACATATAAAATAAATAGGACCACAGCTGAGACCTGTCGAACTTCGGAGCAATTAACTCGGTTACAAATAAATGTCCAAAAAGAAAAAGAGAGCTGCGCAAATTATAGTAAGAAGCGCAACTGCGTCGAAATTTGTTGTTGGGCAAACAAACACAACAAAGAAATTTTGAAACAAATTAGAACATATTAATATCTATATGTAGTTAATCATATTTTACTTACATTTCTATGCTTTGGACACAGCATTTGAATTCTACCATACGTGGTAGTACCACAATTTAAGCACACCAGATGCACTGATGGACGATCGCAAACACACGACTCCACTTTAAAAACTTTTTTAAGAAATGGGTCAGATTCGTTTTCAACGTCCTCCATATTGACCGCGGGCGGCTTTTTAGCCGAACGCTTATTTTTTTTGGATTTAAATGGACCAGCGAGGTTAGGACGAAACATTTTACTTCCTTACAAATTTTATAAGCGTATAATAAGCGTACTTGATTCACTTTGTTTCTTCAAATTCCAATAAAGCATAGAATTATCTAAAAACTAACGGTAGACATCAGTGTTGTGCAGCGTTCAAAAAAATGAAAAAGATTATTTCATTATTTGTTTCAGAATTGCTATGATATATATTTTATTTATTTAGATAACTGAATTTTATTTTGTTTTATTTTGTTTTATTTTGTAATAATATTCATCTAATTAATTCAATGAATACATGATTAAATATATATTTTATTTAATATAAATAATAATTATGTTGTAGTTGTGTTGATCACAAATTATTGCACTTTTTTTTTAAATCTATTCCTTGTTACATGCAGTGTAAACTTACTATCATATGTTTCTGTTCTCTTCAAGGTTTGAAAGTTATAATTTTTTTTAGAAAATGTTCTTTGAAGTTTATGGAAAACCTAATTTTTGTCAGAATTGTAAACTTTTTCTTTATTCTTTATTTTTTCTTACATTAATTCGTTATTATCTTTTTGCATTAAGTTACAAAAGATCATGAACAACAGTGAAATATTCCATAGAATCAGTCATAACACTGAATTTTGTAAATACGATACAGTCAACTAAATTTAAACATAAAATAAACAAATTATTAATGAAGCAACTGCTGATCAATGTTATTAATATGTCTTTATTAATATATGTTAGTCAAACGTGTCATGAAAACGCCTTTAGGTTAACGTCGAAATATTTAAATAAATAAAAATAAAATAACAAATGTTTAAACTTTATTTTTAACATAAGTAACTAATTAGCGCAATATAACACAATAATAATCCTGCTCCTGATAATCTGATTGTATAATCCTGATAGTTCTTTAACAGTATGTTTACATTATTGCAATTAACTCGAAAAATGTGCATTAATAAGTACATTATTTATTCAAATTCCATTCATAACAACATACATATGTGCCAATGAGGTTTAATGATTGAAAGTGTAAATACAATATTAATAAGCATTGTTAATTGAAATTAAGCATTTTTTTAAAAAAAAAAAAAACAACGTTTAATGCAGAATTGTAATTATAAAAGAATTTAAAAATGATACTGACGCCAACAGTATTTTTCCAGCGTTGTGATGTAATTGCTTTAACTAAGACACTTAGTTTAAATTGCACAAACATTTGATAATCATAAACTACGTTTACGCGAGTCTTAAAATCACTTTTAAAACAAATTTTTAAATTAATTTTTAGAGCGTTTACGCACAAGAATTAAAAGCACTTTTAAGGTAGATGTCAATCAGTCAGCTGTTAAGCGATAAACAAAAATGTTGATTTTAAACATTTTAAAAATGGATAGAGTAAACATACAAAATGTTTTATTTTTATAGCAAAAGAAAGACCTTAAAATCAATTTTAAGAGCCTTAAAACAACGGGACATTATAAGGATATTAAACGAATTTATAAGAATGCCAAGAAATTACAATTAATAATTTATCTATCAATATTATATTCAGACCATCGCATTTTTGGGTTATCTCGGTTAACTTATTGAATTTAATCATTTGTGCTATATAAAACTAATGCAAATACGTCAGATTAAAGACTAACTAATCTTTTAAATCGATCGGCTTAATAAGTGTTGTCTCGAAAAGGTCTGTTACGACATATTATGGGTACAAGTTTTGATAAAAGCTAAAAAAAAATAAAATGAGAATTAAGAAACAATTTAAAAAAAAAATAACTCTACAAACAAATATTCGAAAGCTTTACACATATTTTTCATATATGCTTTAAGAAGTTTAACTTTAATCAAACGGAAAATAGAGCGGCAAATCACATCAATTGGTAAATTTGGTTTCTCCTTTTTCCGCTTTTTCACTAAGCTCTAAAAGTTGAAGTGTAAACATTTAAATTGTTCTTCGCCGAAAATTATTGACACATGTGAAATAAGTTTACATCGTAACATGTTTTAATAATGTTTATTTCTATGCAATATTTTTTTTCAAATATGGCAACATCTGATTTTCATATACTCATTAAATCCGTTAATTATTGCCGGCTTTGTATTTGCATCTTTCTTAGAAAAAAAACGGTTTTCATATCAAGAAAATTAAAACACATTCTCTTTTTAATTACTGTTTTTATATCGATAAGGTCAATAATATCGCAATAATATGAAAGGCAAAGGAAAGGCCAGGGGTAATATTATAGAATTCTTTAGTAATTATTTTATAAAATGTTTTAAATATTTAAAGTGGTGGAAAAATTTGACGACGGGCCTTCAACAAGCGCCGCAGCTCAACAACAGTCCAGAAGACCAACTGATGTAAATAAGTTACCTACACGCCAATACTTGGATCAAACTGTCGCACCTGTTTTATTGAAGGGTTTGCAGACTGTTTCACGTGTACGTCCAGCAGATCCAATTGGGTTTTTGGCTGATTTTTTGGTAAAAAATCGACCTCCAGCTAAGGAATCCTCTGAAGCTAAATAAAGCTGAGTAATTGCAATAAATAATGGTTAAAATATTGTATATTACATATAATAAAGCTTATCTTTTGAACATTTAAAATAAATATGCTTTTATTTAAAGCTTAATTTGAAAGTATGAAATAGATAATAATTAATATTTTTTACCTCATTTATGCTAATAACTCCCACTTTACTTTTTAAATGCAAAACTCTCCATTATTAGCGACGGAATATTAGAGAAATTAAAACTATTTACTAAAAAGATAGAGATATTTTAACGCATCACTAAGTAAAATAATTATAAAATCCTTGATTTTTAAATAAATTGCGTATTAATTAGAATAAATTATTCAAAATAGAAACTAGATATTAAATAGTCTATAAGCAGAAGAGATAATTATATACCGCGAACTATAAAATCTATTGTACTACATGCTGAAGATTTCTCTTCTGTGCAATAATTCACCAATATAGTTGGGTATTCCATTTGTTGAAGATATTGCCACGTAATCTTCCTATATTACAGATTACAAATCTAGACTTCTATACATAATTTATACTGTTCTTATCATAGTATGTAATCAATTCAACTAGACTTTCTTTCCATGTTGATATCCGCAAGTTTGTTTAAATTCAATGCAGATCGATCAATATTATGTTTGGTCAAAATATTTTAAGAATTTTTAGAAGAAATCTTGGGATAAGTATTCACAGTTTAATTGGCATTATTACAACTATGAGTTACGTTTCACATTCATAAAGCAATACTGACAGTGAACTAACTGGAAAAATCAATGGTTTAATGGATTTTAATATATTTATAAATGCAGATTTTACTACAGCATCAATAACCATCAAAGTATTCAAATAAGTTATTCTAGATCAGTGATATATATCTTCCCCGTAGTATAGACAGTTACCACGAATAGCGAGTCCTACGTGTTTCAGTTCATACCACGATATAACATATATACATATATTTTTTTTATACGTTTTATATAATTGACACTTGGAAAAATAAAAGAATTAACGGACACCCTTGATTCCAACCAGACATTGTAACAAAACAGCTTTAACATTACTCTATCACAGAATTCTAGATCTAAAATCATTATAATTTTCTCTTACTATTGTTGTTGTTATAGTCCACAGAGATTTGTTTATGTTGTCTTGTTTAGAAGTATTAAACACGGTTCAAAAGTTTTTAATTCAAGAATTTTTTTATAATCCAATGTGAGTATACACATCGGCGATTGCATCGTATAAGACCAAGACGAAATAGAGATAATTCAAGCAATAATTTTCATAAATATTTTCATATTTAAAAAAAAATCATCAAACCGTAATACATTTTGTCATACAACTTTTATTTAGAAACTTTAATCAGAACACATTAGTGCCAATTTTTTATCTGTTTTGACTAAGAGGTGATCGGTAAATTTACTCATTTCTTTCATATGTTATTTCACTGTTATTACACAGTCGATTTTAAAGAAAATATCTGAGATTTTTAATAATTAATTAGACTATTTGATTCTGATCTGTTTCTCTCTCTCTGATTCTGATATCTTTCTCTGTCTCTCTCTATCTCCCTCTGATTCTAATATCTTTCTTTCTCTCATTCTTTCGCTCTCTGATTCTGATATCTTTCTTTCTCTCTCTCTCTCTCCGATTCTGATATATATCTCTCTTGCTCCCTCTGATCTTTTATTGAACTATCTCTAGACTCCCTGCTCTTTGTGTATTTAAAAGATTCTTTGGTATTAAATCATTATCTATTTATTTAATTATCTATTTATTTTTCTTTCGCTTTTTTCGAAGTATTCCTCTTTTCCATCTTGTATAGCTCCTTCAGTATATTTGTCAAGATCACTATATAGTATTAACTTGCAGTTGATTTTTTTTGCTTAATATTTTTAATAGTGTTTATATTGTCTACCTATATGGTTAGCTCTTTCATCTTTAAAAATCTAAATATAAATTGACTTAAAGTTCCTATTTTATTTTAAGCGTTTATCCATACTTTCTATTATAGCGGTTATAATATATATCTATATTTGCTATATTCTGTCAGTTTCGTTTATTAGTAGAAGTAGATCGTATTGTATTTGCCTAATATGTATTAAGCCCTTAACGGAAGCAATGCTTTTAATTAAGAATAGCCAGTGAACTACAAAAAATTACCATATATACTGAAAAAAATAGGTCTAATAGGTTTTACTATATAATTTGCTATTGCATCACTGTTCTAAAACTGCTACATCTAAAACCTTATGATTTGAAGTCAATTCCATACCAACAAATTCCCACAAATTAAAAGTGTTGCTAACTTACATCAAAATTTTAACAATAGTAAAGTAAATGTTTTTCTTTTCTTATCTTCCAATCATACTTTCTTTATTATTGAAAGTGTTCTATTATTAATTAATTATTAATTAAAATATTGGGCATCCCAACCCTTGTTTATATCTATAGATTGGCCTCATGTTTCACACAAAATCGGTCGCACACCCGAAACCATCAACAACTTGCAAACAGGGACTAGTAACCAGTGTAATAACGAATATGGTTTTATAAGTTTTGTTTTGACGATGATTTTAAGTTTTCCGACCAGAAGACGATGATTTGATCCAATATTTGAGACTTGTTTTTTTTGTAACACTAACATATTAATAATACATAAGAGGTCAATTTAATTTATTTAAAATTAATTTATTTAATAAAATCATTGTCTTTAAACAATTATGAAGAACAGTAAGTTTGAAAATGAACGCATTGGTTTGATTCTCAATTGATATTTCAAGGGCTTCTTCTACTTCTTGCTCACGCAATTTATTCTTATGTTCGGTATCAAGAAGAATTCATTTGGCTGTACGATCAAATCAGGACTGTACGGCGAATGAGCCATTAATTCGATTTGCTGAATGTTCAAATAGTCGGTTGTTAGACGAGATGTGTGAGCACTCGCATTGTCTTGATGGACAATGATCCGACGGCGCTTGTTTGTTTTCTGTATTTCACTGAAGACTTGCAGTAAATAAATGGTTGTGTACCATTCGAAATTGACTCTTTTACGTTCCTGTAATGGTATAGTAGCCACAGAGGCGAGGCGTCGAATGGTTCAGAGTGTTCACTGAACACCTTAACAAAGCTTCCTTTTTAGATTTTTTTTTATTAGGTAAATAATCTCGCTATATTGCTACTTAACATTTTTTATAATAGCTTTTCCAAACAGATTAACATAAACACAAAACGTAGAATACAAACAAAATCACACATGTGTTAGTTACACCCAACATTACTTACAATTAATAAAAGAGAAAACACATTCCTCTTAAAATATACTAAGGTTCAAAATTAAAACTGCACCGCGTTGCTTACAAAGCATGCAAATGAAATAACATTCACATTGGGACTATGTTCAATATTGAATACACAACACAAAACATACAAACAAATATATGTACGTAAAATAATCTTAACTCTTAAATTAATGCGTGCAAGCAGTTCAATAAAAAAAGTGCACTTCCAATGTTATGCAAAGTAAATACAAAAGAGAAAAGAAATAACTGAGCGAAAATCGCTTTACATTTGACGAGAGGATCATTCCACTAAACTGAACCAAAAGTTTATACAAAGCGTGCAAATACAATCAAAGTCACGGTTGCTGTTTTATATGGGGAAATGGTTCAGTATAAAAACTGAACCGGGCATTGTAAATACAAAGTAAAAGAGTAAATGAATGCATGAGAGTTTCTTACTCTTATATAGAGGTTGGAAATAAATCAATAACAAAGTCATTATTGCAATTTAATACTAGCAAATGGTAAAAGTAAAGAAAAAAATTAAAGAAATTTGAAGTGAAAAATAATATTTAGAAATGAATTAATGTGTGATTAAAGATTTGATTCAAATATCTTTTTTTAAACGATCTTCTGAAAAAAAGATTTTAATTCATAAAATGAATAAACCAACTCCAGATATGAAGAATTTGATACCTGTTGTAAAAATGTCGAAATCTATGGTAAGTCGTCGTTTTCCTACAGCTATAGCTTTATGGTAAATAAAAACCAGTGGATCACAGGCTGCGAACATTTAAATAAATTGTTTTATTGGTCTTGTACGCTATTTGCTTGTGGAAAGGACAAAACTTAGAAGTAGGGGGAATACGTTATAGTTGGAATTCTGTTTTGATTAAATTGTGAACACCTTGCCAAAAAGCTGACGCCTCGCTACTGAGTAGCCACATGACCAGTTTTCCCGACAAAACGAGCGACCATTTCTTTCGAAGCACTGTGAGCGCGAACAACTATTGTTGTTCAGTTTGAAACAACCATAAAGTCGGCTGCCGTTTGCGTTCCGGCTCATACACATATATCCATAATTCGTCACCTATTATGATCTTATATACGTCTTTTATAGCATATTTTCTCTGTGAGTACCCGGCATCGGCGTGCAGATGATATAAGTTCTTAGGAAAATACTTTCTTGATAGTTCTGTTCCTCGGTGAAGACGAAAAATCTATTACATTATCCAAATTCGGCGGGATTTATTTATTCTTAACTTTTCTATACTAGGGTTCTTGCTAGACACCGTTATTGTACTTCCTGAGCATTTATGTGCACAAATCGAAAAGAGCATCTTTTTGAGATTTCGTCAAATCATAGGGGATCCAACGAGAACAAACGTTGGCCTTTCTCACTTCTAAATAATCGTGCAATCTCACAGTATGTCATATGACGATCTTTTACTATCAGTTTTTCCACAGCATCAATGTTTTCTGGCACAACCGATGTTAACTGATTTTGGACGACCTTCACAAATTTTCTCAGTAAACGAACTCCGGTGACGATTAAAATCATTGTACCAGCGTTTCACAGTGGCAAAGGATAGAACTTCATCGCCAAATGTGGAAGTAAATTCATCAATGCACTCTTGTCTTGATAATCCAAGTCGAATATCGTAATAAATCATCGCACGAAAATTTTTTCGCGTTAATTTCATTTTTTCGCCAACAACTGGATATATATGAATAGTACAATATTAAAGCAAATAAGGTTAAAACCATAGCGCTAGATTCCAGAACTTG